TGGCCCACCCTGTATATAAAAATAATCAGTAAGAGTTATTGATTAGTAACACTGCTAACAATAAGTATTAATTAGCAGGTATTAAGTGAATGTGATGTATCCTAATCGGAAACGTTTCCTTTCTCGGCATACCTTTTAATCGACGAGCGAGTTCCTTGGTGAACAAAATATTTGCCAATTTAGTTTGTGCATATCGTAAAACCAATGAATAAGATCTTTCCATATTAATATCATTAATCATATCGAAATCTATGTTTGCAGCTATAAGAGAATGTTTTTATTATATTATGTTTCTATAATATTTGTATTTTAAACAAGAATGACTGGAAGTATTTTAATGCTATCGTAATGTCGCTTTACGTACCAATATAAGCATAAGATGAGACGTTGATTATTCTGCAATTGGTAGAAGACGATTGCATCTTTGGCAGCAACATAAGTGTCAAAAGAAAATGGCCAAGATGATTTACTTGTAATGCCATTTCGATTCCATCCTCCATCTTCTCATACGGACATGCAGCCACACCGGCATTATTTATAAGAATATGAATAGCTGCTTCGTTCGTCATCAACCTTTTGGCACATTCTCTTACGCTCTTCAAACTACATAGATCGAGAAAATATATCGCGAGCTCACCTACGTTATTCTTATATTCATCCTTCGTTGTCCTAAAAGTAGCCATTGATTTACGAACTAATCGTTATTTTCTTCAACATAAAATATTTCAATTAAAATAAATAAAGTTGCAGAAAAACAAAAATGAATAAATTAAAACAAATAGATGTTAATTAATTTTTATGGTACAAGTTTGATATACTTACCACGATGGTGGATTATTTTTTATATCTTCAACTGCTTTATTTGTTTTTTCCAGATTTCTGCAAGCCAGAATTACTCTAGCGCCTAAGTGCACACGTCATTTATTCAAATGTGTTTAATGTATTTTTTTTTATGGATTTATGAAAAAGTTTTATGAAATTGTAAATAAATCACAAAGATAACATAAAGAATCTAATATTCCAGTAAAGAAATGTATATGTGTTTCTCTCTCATGAAATATAAATATATTATATGGCCATATGACAATGACGCTTGTATTAAGAAAAAATATCCGATTAAATTGAATATTCGGTGAAAAATATGATCGGTTTCTCGATTGAATTTTATCGGCAACTGCATTTTATCAACCAATATGTTAAAGATTATTTCTGTCGGAATTCACACACTATTGTTTTTATTACAAAAGAACTGATCAGTGTGACGTTGTGTGTCGAATAGCTACACGTTCGCATTTAATTTAATCGGATAAGTTAATCGGAAAAATTAACTATCGGAAACATTGGTTTATCCAATGGAAATTTTTCTCAGTGTGATACTGTTATCTTCTGACTAATAACAAATTTATATTTCATTAATAGGAAACAATATCTAAAATTACAAAGTTTAGGATAATTTAAAACTATATAATTTCAGTAAAATTACCTCTTCCATATAAGTCTCTGGCAGTCTCCTTGCCGATACCACCACTTGCTCCCGTTATCACAACAGTTTTACCATCAAGACGTGCTTTGCTCGTACACATTTGATTAAAGAACCACATTTTAAGATGCTTTTTTACTCACGATCTACTACGAATTATCAATATGTCAACGATTATTTCTATCGGAATTCACACAGTATTGCTTTCATTACATAATAGAACTGATCAATGCGACGTACTGATGTTGAGTGTCGAACAGCTACACTCGCACTTATATAATTTGTAAGATATCCTCCAGTAAAAGAAGAAAGATATAGGCCAGTGGGCCGTGGTAGAATCTCATCTCTGAGAAACCCCCACTCGAAATAGAGAAAGTGCGAGTGCGCAGGCCTGAGTGTCGTAGCAGGGAGAAATCGACGAACCGGTCCTCGCTCTCTTTCGTTCGGATCGTCAGGAAGGACGTAAAAATTACGGATGCAATCACTTATCAAAGAAAGATCCGAAAAACATACAAAACCTTGAATTAACAAATAGAGACTGGATCCAATAAGAGAAAAGAAGGAAGGAAGAAGCTGACGATCTCGAGTTGGAGAAAGAGCCAACGCGGGATCCAAGAGCCTTGCCGTTAAAGAAGATGAGTAGAGATAAAATTGTTATTAGATAGTACTTCGAATCACGGCTATTCCCTTTTTAAAAAGGAGATGTTACCAGTGCGAATGTCGTTAATGTCGAACAGTTGAGGCCTCTTTTCCGCGATGCCGATTCGTTTTCTCGAAGCGCGGTGTGCTTCGCTTCCCTTTTCGATTCATGGTAAATGAAGATTTGCAATTTAAAAAATACACATTTGTATACACCAACTGTTGAGGTAAAATCTCTAATCTTAGTAGTTAGATTTTAAGTAACAATGATTTTTGTTCCGATACATTTTCTCGATTGAACAGAATTAAGCGTTTATTTAATCGGTACCAATAAGTCCGCAGAATGATACACAAAACGTAGTAACAGTCACGGAACAAAAAAAGACCGAATTCCAACGTTCGTAGTTGTTTTTCTCTCGGCGCGATGACGTACTATGTTTGCGTGCCATTGTGTACCCGAAGGTCGCCGCGCTATCATTCGCCCGCCGAACGTCGAGCCGGCAGGCAGTGGCGAGAGTCGCTCCGTGCGTGTTATTACTTTTGCGTTATCGGTTTCCAAGACTCGATCGCGATGAATGCTGGGATAAAACACTATTGATTTGCACACCTTTATCAGTAACAAGTAACGTTCCTCGATTAATTATTAAGTTTCTCCAACTTGTAATAAGAAACGAATTGCATGTCGAGGCGACGGCTCTTTATCAACGTACACGTAGATATTTCACGAGACTAACTCATCTAAAATATGAATGTAAATCGTGATACTTTCGCGGTTACATCTCGTTTACGCACCGCGCTTTTAATTATCTATCGATTTCGTGTAATCTGTTCCATTTTCGGAAGAAGAGAGAAATTTGTACGACTTCGGCGTTCGCGCTGTAATTCGCTCTGTACCGCAGATTATGCTTCCGTTGCTCGCGTTGTATTTTATATCGCCAATTCAAAAGTGTTTTATCCATCATCCTATTCTTCCGAATCGAAAGTGCAAGTCGTTAGTTTGAGTAATTTGTATAACAGAAAGTCACACGATATTTGTTAATAATATTTCGTACGTTTCATGGTATTTCACATCGCGTACGGGAGTGTCCGAAATTTCGCGCGATCGATGATTTTTGCGAGTGAGTGTTGTGCGAGTGCAACAAGGAAATCTGAGAGGATGTGCTGGCCTAAGAGGCATCGGGCAACGGCGGAGAAATGGTGAGGTAAGTGTCTTACATTTTTATGTTATCTGTTACTTGTGCGAAATAAAGCATCCGTTTTGTGTTTTTATTTTATTTATTCAAATAAGTTGAACGAGGATCCGAATAAGTGTTAGAGGCGAAACCATACGTATAAAATTTTGTGAGTTTATATTTAAAAGGAAGACTTTTTCATTATTCTATATAATTATTTTAATAAATACTTATTTAAAAAATATAAAGTATATTTAATACAATAATTTCGATTTTATAATTATTTCATAATAATCATATACATATATTTGTATTTTTACAGTTTACCATACGTATATGTATAGTTACTGATGTACAACGCTGCTATTGCGAATCGTATCAGTGAGTGATAAATTCCTTTTATTTTAAAGTGACGTTGCGCATACAATTACTTCTTTGCATGTATACAAATTTTTTAAAATACACAATGCTCGACCACAAATTGCGCGCGCGAAGCGCGCGTTTTGTCATTTCTAGTAGATGTAAAAGAAAGGAAATGCTAATCGAATTCCTTATCATTGTGAAAGGAAAACGTGATGATTGTATCGATAGAATAATTTGTAGAGACACTTCCCTTGACCGCGGTCGGGCCGTTAGACGAGATCTCGATAGGTCGTGTAAGAAAATAAATAGATCTCAAGAGAGATAGACTTAGAATTGGAAGCCTATAGATCTGTAAAGATCCGGAGCGAATAATTTATTCGATTCGAAATAGATACATACGCGGACTATAATCCCATTTGATCGGTTTGACTAATAAAAATTCTAGTCTTGTTGTATAAATCATAGACAAATCTTCTTTTCTCCTCGCATACTTCTTACAATCATTCATGTGGAATTTATAAAAATCTTACAAACCGAGGCATGTTTTTTTTATTGTTGCACTACACTAGTGTTCTCTCTAATGAAAATGTCGATGAAAATTGTTATTTATTACAATTAATTATTGTGCATCAAATTTTTGCATCTAATATCTTAGTAACTAAATTTCGCGAAATAAAATACAATTATAGTAAACATTATTTATAATTCGGTCGAGAATGTTTTATTATTTATTTAGCTTCTCTTAATGAAATTTATAATAGTATTATAAAAAATTGTTTTTATTATATTTCCTACATCTTTTTGTTAAAAAGTTTTAATTAACTAAAAAATTTCAATATACAAAATTACTATTATACGAAATATGGTATGAAAATTCAGGAGATGTAAGACACAATTAATTTAGTGCACAATAAGTAACTTTTGTGGGGAAATAATATGCATTTAATCACAAAGTATGAGTATCAATAAAGCATGAGATATTAGTATAATGTCGTAATGTTTTGAGAAGTAAATCAGAAGTTGGTGTAAAATGCGACAAGGGAGGATTAACTACACTGTTCTTTGTGTCCACAACTGGTAGTTAGGCAGATGGTTGTGAGACGATGTTTTGGCACGTAACAGTTGCCAGCAGTTATACTATTTCATGCGTGACCGTTAACATACGCACCCTTAGTGTATTTCCAACCGGCATCAAGAAATAAACTAAGTTCCTCGCGTAAATGAATCAATCGTGTGATATAAAATGGATCTTAAACTACGTAAACCATTTTGGAAATTGTGGTGAGTCAAACTTATGTGCATTTTTATGATATTATAATTCAATTCTTTCGTAGAACATGGTCTATAAATTTGACTAAATGCGATATTCGTGTTTACAATCATTATGACATTAGAATTTAATGTCATAATGATTGTCCAGTGACTAGACTGTTCATTCAATTAACTCAAATTATTAGAAGATTTACTGATCGTTTATTTAGTTTAAACCGTTAGAATTTGTTATGCTTAATATTTTATTGTAACATTGTTACAAACTGTTTAATTTTCCATAACTTTTGATAAGAAAGATTTCTTTAAATTAAATTTACATTATGTTAGTTAAGAGGTTTATAGATGAAAAGAAATATATAAAATCTAGAATTTTATATTCCATGTACGCATTAGAATTGGTTTAGTGAAAAAGTATTTAGCCTTTAACTTTGCTGACGCAGGAGAATCTGTGTTATAATGTACAATAATATATAAACTGTTGGAGAAATTCTGTGTCATTGAACCGTTAAGCCGTCATCTGTGCATGATGTTATAAGAGTGCATAGAGTATATTTACAATTAAGAGTGTAGAGATAAAGATTAATATTCGAGTGTCTCTAAACTATCTACTTCAATCATAAGTCAATCATAAATCAATAATCATTAAAAAGTCTATTGATTATTGGTATTTAAATGAAAATTATGTTAATTAAATAACTATAATATATACATATGTACTACACACACACACAA